AATTAAAAATATATATTAAGAAGCTCTTCAGGGCCGGTTGATTCAATGAAGTATTGAGACAAAAGCATTACCCCTGCAAATATTATATGATTCGTGATAGGGATTTCATATTTCACAGCTGTATTCCTTGTGACAAGACCTCCCATTAAATACCAACAATTATGACCCTTTGACCTTAACCTTGGAGTTTGACCTACTTTTGAAAAACATTTACAATGTATCTTGTCCATAACTTTTGAATGGTTGATGATAGGCCTGTCTTATTTCACAAGTGTATTTCTTGTGATAATTCCCTTGGGCACCATTAATTTTGACCATTTGACCTTGACATTTGATTTATATTTCCAAAACCTTTAACCTTCTTTAACCTTTGCCATAACTTTTCAATTTTCGGTACTAGGGCTTTCTTATTTCACAGTTATATTCCCTGAGACAAAATTTTTATTTGGAAAAAAACATTTTTTTTTATCTCTTGACCTTGACTTTGGAGTTTGATTCGCATTTGAGAAACTTTAACCTTCGCCATAGACTGCCATATGGGGACATCAGTGTTTCACAAACACATCTTGTTTTAAGTAAAATTTACCTGACAAGAATAAGTTCTTGAATTGTTTATATTTAAGAATCTATTATCATTTAACATAATGTGATGCTATAAGTTAATCAACACAATAATTATTATGACTTCTACCATAAGTGCATGTATGACATCATTTGGCGCAATCGTTTGAATTTGCATTAATATAAAGCAAGTACAAGTAGTTACTGGTTAAAAAATAGTTTCGATCATTTAAACTGTTCATACAATGCCTGTAGATTTGATCTCTCTTTTTATAGTTATTGTCATTTGGCACTTTTTTTGCTCAAGAATATTACCTAGTCCCTGTTGTCTACTACTAGCTCAACCACAAGATACTGTAAAGTGCACGTTTCCTTAGTAATGAATTCTTGATTTATAAAGTAAATAATGCATCAATTGTATTGAAAATTGAAAGTATACACTTAATAGGATAATTTACGAATAGGTAATTGTGCTTAATTGTTAAAACCATAATAATTTATGCCTGTCAGGAATTGTCAGGAAAATGAACCATTTTGATTCGTTACTTTCATAAGCTAAATCTATATAAGAGAAGAGAGAGAGCTGTTCGGTTTATTTTTAGATATCTTCACTGAGCACTTGACTAACGCAAAACCTAAAAGGTATGAAGAATTCTGCAAACCAAGATCATAATTTATTTATATAAAGATAAGTTCTAATTATTAGTCAGCATAAAGATTGTTTTCATAAATTGAAAACCTGGAGTCCTAACATTTTGTGAATTCCTGACAGCTCAAACCTTCTTGACAACAAAAACCCCTCAGAAATCCTGACAATAGAATTCCTGGCACCCAGGTTTCCTGACAGCAGGATTCCAGACACCCAGAAATAATATAATAATACAATATAATTCCTGACAAGTGAATTACCGACAATCTCTTTTATATCATGTAATTATTGTAAATACCCATTTATTGATTTCTGAAAATGCAACTTTTGTTATAAGAGTTATTCCCCTTTAATTCCCATTTTGGCTATAGATACATATAACTTTATATTTAGCTATATCCCTTCACCCAAGAGACCCTAACTAAATACGATATTATTATGTTCCCCAAACGAAGTTCGAAGACGATGTTCTCGGAAACTACTCATCCGATCGAGTTAAAACATTTTTGGGGTTAGCAGGCATGTTTTGTGGATGTGCGTAACGAAGGTCATTTCACACGTACATGCATGCGCGTGCGTGCGCGTGCGAGGAGTGAAATGACTGATTCAATTGAAAAGCTTTAAACGTTCTATTTTTTATTTTTATTTTTATTTTTTTTTTTTTGAGAATATGCTTTGAACCTTATTATAAAAACATATATTAGTGGTGTAGACAAGATGAGGTGGTCAAATTAACAAGAAAGCACATGCATAAACGTGTACTTTACTCTGATTGGCTGACAAAAAATCTCAATTACCTTCTTGGTTTTTGAGGAAATACTTTGAAATTTAAAACATAGTCATACAGAACGAGGTTCTACATTATGATATATATTTGATATCGTGAAAACACGCGCATGCACGTCGTCTGCAATTCGATTGGTTTATACTTTATATGGATGTATCTTTCTTAGTTTTCAACAAAACAGGATGAAATTTAGAATATAGTTAGGTATAATAGGTTTCTACATTGTGCTAATAGCAAAAATGAATGCAAGAACATGCATGCACATGCGCTGGATTCTGATTGGCTAACACTAAAATGGCTGTATCTCTAATAGTTTTTAATGAAAATGTTGAGATTTCTAACATAGGTATTGATTGTGAGTCTCTTAACGAGGAAGACGTGTGATATATTTAGAAAACATGGGCATGCACGTGCTCTGAAATCTGATTGGCTAATACTCAAAGGACTATACAGATGTTGTTTTTCGATTAAATACTTTTGAAAATAAAGTGTAGATTTATTACACAAAAGAATTGCCTAATTTAACGAGGCTTGTAGGGAATGGAGGTGTGTTTTGGGAACATATGTAACGGTTCCCGTTACAATTAACACTAGTTATATTATGTGTCGATAAGGGGACCAACATAGTTTTGTGTTTTAACTGTTGACTTGTTTATAAGTCTGTGATGAGGTTTCATAAACAGATATAATGAACATATGGTGTTCCTGTGTAAAACATCTTTAGTGGAAATATATTGAGACCTGTCTGTTACAGTATGAAAAACATACCTTTTAGTGTTGAGGGAAACGTTTTAATTAGCTTTTCTTTTAAGGAAAAGAGAGTGTAGGTGTTGAACGAAGCAGAAATTATGTACTTGCGAACATTACAAAAAATAAGTTAATGTAATGAGTTTGAAGGATGCATGCACACCATGTGGGTAGTAATAAGGAGCTTAATTTCCTTATTCCTTAATGCTTCTTAAAATAATAATAATGCAAGGAAATCCAACACAAATTATTTCATTTCATAAAAACTCATTGTCATAAAGTCACAAAAAATGTTTCTATAGATTATTGTATATTTACAAGTCATACACTTTACAAGTTCCGATACCATTGTGTGTGTGTGTGGAAAATCTATTAAAATTTATGTATGACGTTTAATGATTTCATTTAATGGTTTACAAATGCTAATAAATATATATGTACAATGTCATAAACAGTTTGTTTTTAACAGGACAGATTATTTTACGAATTCTACACAGTATCAATTCATTTTAACCAGCTAATCATGATAACATACGCAGACAGAGTGTCTGTTATACGGACAACAAGAAACCCGTCACAAATTAACTAGTTTGAAGATATTTAGATAAATTAACAATTAACTGAAAGGTATCACGGCAGACGTCCTCGGTGCAGCTTTTAGGAATAGATATAATACAAACACGGTCTTAGGAAACTCATTATCAAGTTAGAACAATCTAACGGCGTTTTAAACAATTAAATAACAACAATGCCCAAGCCAAATAGGTTCCGAAAACTGTTTTATTTTTGAACAATTGTTATCAATGGTGTAGCGCCCTTCAAGCAACAACGCAAATGAATACACAGATTCTTCAACAAAAATAATCAAATATTTTTTGTTTTTAAAAAGAGAGAAAAGATATCGAAAGTTCAATTATAGATCAAGCTTAAATAGGTTTTTTTTTTTTTTGTTTTTTGTTTTTTTTTTAAAAAAAAACCTAGATTAAGAATTTCAAGGGCGATTTTCATTTTACAGTGTATTGTCAATTCAACGCAACAGCAAATCCTAAAATATCCTATTTACTAATTCCCTTAATAATTTAAAGAGCCAGAATTACTGCGTTATACTTGTACTAATCGATAAATAAAATTTAATAGCATTTTAAGCTAATAATATTCAATTTGTTGTTGAATATACATAGAATTTATTTCACATTTAAGATAATAAAGAACTGTCTTAGTTGTAAAATAAATTCTATAACATTTACCAAAACATTGAATTTTCAGTTTATTACATGTTCTTTGTGTTTTCTTTAGTCCATAATAGCTGACACTTTCTTTATCAAAATTCAAAACAATATTTATTGTCATGAATGTAAATATGAGGGTTTATTTAACGATGGGTTTATGCATAAAAACAAGAAATGCTTACTCCTCTATGGCACCTGATCCCACCTCTAATGTTTGAGGTCCGTGTTTGCTCTGCTCCAAATTTGCATCGTTTCATTGGACTTGTGAGATTAAATACTGTTCGTTATCTTCTTATTTCATTTGAAGAATTTTGTCAAAATTTGGCAAGTTTTTGTAAATATTTAGAGAACTACAGTGGTAAAAATAAAGGTAATTTTCTGATTTAAAACACTTAAATTCCATGAACTTACGGGGGGTTCCCCCTTGGGCCCCACCAGGGCGCTGTCCTGGACCGCTGGGCATCAAGGCGGACCCCAGACCATTTGCCTTTTGAATACAGAATTTTTTTTGCTAGCTACGCCACTGGAAGTTATCAATGTGAAGCTTTAATGAATTTAACTGAAATATGCAGGTGTATCGTGTTGTATAAGACTAACGAATAACAAATGTTCTTTATATTTGATATGTATATTCTGTATTTCCATTGTTTTGAAATTTGATTCTTCAAATTTTTGAAGATTGTAGCCAGCACATCAGAGACATAATCACAACCACTGTAAAATTTAATCAAGTAAAAGGAAAATCAATTACATGCACTTCCGGGCCCAAGCTAAAATTGTTATCCAACAACTGATTATAGTAAAAGGTTTTACGAATAGTAATCTGCTTAAATCATGGTAAGATTATGATTTGTAAATCGATCAATCTCAGTCAGCAAATAAAATTCCATAATTTTATAATAGGTCCATTTTTAAGGTAAAACAGCCAAGTAAATATACCTTAAACAAGTTTAAAAACTACTTGGAAAATAATTAAGTAAATATGTCAGCTTTATAACGATGCAGTCTAATGTGCAAAGTATGGATTTCAAAATAAATACTTAATTTTCTTCACTTGGTTAAGTCTCATCTCAGAAACAAACAGATTGTCATTTGCATCTATGCACAGTCCAAAGGGGCTCATCAGTCCACAGACTATGAAACTGAGGAACGTTCCCTTTTGGTCTATGATGTGAACACAGTCATTGTCACAATCTGCTATAAGGATGTGACCCTGACTGTCTGTTGTGATTCCTTTGGGATTGAACGGATTGTCCCTTGGCGAAGGATTGTGACCATTGTAAACGAATCTCAGTTCTCCATCTTTGTTTATTACTATTACTGATTTTTCATTGATGTCAACTAAACAAATATCTAAGTTCCTGTTTTCACTAATGCTGTAATGATTATGAACAGGATATTCATAGATAGAAGTCCTCTCTTGAACCCGTATGGATTGTTTTTCTGTAGAGCCAGAGTAACGAACAACTTTTAATCTCTCATCTTTTTCACTGTGCATGCTAACTAGAAGATCTCCAGAGGAGGTAGTGCAGACTCCAAAAGGTCTCCAGTTTTGCAATGTAATTGTGTCAGTCTTTCCTTCTTTCACAATGTTTATAGTTTTCGCAATTGGATCAGTATAAAACAGATCACCATGTTTTGTTATAACAAGACCTCCTGGACTTTTCCCTGACATAGTTCCAATTTGTTTTAATATTTTACCCTGACTGATGCTAAAGAGATACATTTTATCATCAGCTCCCCCTATCCAAATTTTATCGTCATTTAGACAGGCCAAAAAGTAAGGACCATACAAAAATTTAAACTGAATATTTACTTTTATGACAATCTTTTGTTTATGAAGAAGCTGTTTAACTGGAAAAGTTACTGCTTCTGATATATTATGTTCTGACTCTATGCAGTGACCATGTTCATCTGACATAAGAGACAGACTTGAAAATTTTCTTTCAAGTTTATATTTAGAGTAGGGGTGAGCAGATTTCTTCCTTTGTAAATTGACAATTTTGTGGTCAGAGGATTCATTAACTGAAATATGTTCTCCCACACATGCCTTGCATAGGCTGACGAGACATACATTGCAGTGCATCTGTATATTAGTAGTTTTGCACAGGTTACATGTCATCACATCCTGGGCACTAATTTGTGGGTTCATTGTTGTATTTTTTTTCTGAAAAATATAAAAAAAAAATTCCAATTGTCTTTTTTGAAAGAGAATTAGTTTTTTTTTAAATATCAGTTCAATTATCTTTCTTGATTTTTTTTCTTTTACATTGAGCTATGTGGTAACATAAAAAAGATTCCCCTCTTTCTAAGCGATCCGACCCTTATAAGAACCTAATTATCTTACCCTAAATATCCATCATGTTTAAAATACCTTAAACATGTATTAATTCAAAGCATTTTAGAGTAGAAAAGGATTTACCATGAGAAATTTTCAAAAATGTAATTGTCTGAGCAGTAATTTATGAATAAAGATTGCATTGAGTTCAATGGGGACAACCAAATTCTTTTAATTTAAAACTTTAAATACAAGAATAAAAAAAATGATGCGGTGGGAAAAAGATTTTAATTATCAGGAATAGAATAATGATTGAAAACTATTATTTTAACCAGATAGATTTTTAAAAATTGATTTTATTGGATTAAATCAAAGGGAGATAACACTTCAAGGACAGGACAAGGTCATAAATTAGGGCACATTCCAAATTAGGTCTAAGTATACTGAGTTTTCATATGTTATGCATTCAATTTCATTGAATCTGAAGCTATTATGGCCGGATAGATAAACGAATAGATAAATTTCTAGAAACATTTTTGTAAACTTTCACTTTTAATAATATGTAAGATATCTTGAATACTGTTCGTTATCTCCATATATATTTCATTCTATCATAAGATTATTATGATTGATTGTTAAACAATAATAATCAATCATAATAATCTTATGATAGAATGAAATATATATGGAGATAACGAACAGTATTCAAGCTCAAAAGTCCATTAAACATTACAAAATAGGAGCAGAGCAAACACGGACCTCCAAAACATCAGAGGTGAGATCAGAAATATATTTAAGTTTCACCTATATTTAGGATAGATGTCTCCAAAACTTTACATTTAACACAGTGATATCTTTACCTTTAAAGGTTATGTGTCCTGCACTGTACTTGTTTCAAAATTGAACTCTAAATTTCGATTGTTTATTGTACTTTGTAATGTAAATTTTTTAATTTGCAAATAACATTTTTTTTTTATTAGTTTCTTAAATTGAAAAAATATACCTTTAGTGTCCACAATTGAATTCCCCAATTAATCAAAGACAATTTGTTTGATGGCTCTTTAAACAACTTCCTTGTTAACATGCATAGTTAACTTTTTACGCAAAGATCATGTGACTTTAATTGTTTTTTATTGGGTATTTAGTACTGGCTTTTATTTAAGTAAAGTATAGATATTGCACATATACTGCATAGTATTATGATCCTAAGAACAAAGATCGGAGATAAAATATTCTTATCTGTCCTTCTTTAATTGTTGAATTTTGTATTTCTTTGAATAAGTTTAAAATAAAGTTCATTCTTGTCATGCTTTCAAAATGATATATTGAATTTACATTCTTTCGATCGGTCTTGTAAATAGTTGATATGTATTCCCAACACAAATCTAATTTCCTTTATACTCTCTTCATATACGATCATTGTATCCTTGTGGAAGGGCGCTCACTTCGTGATCGGAAGATACCGGGTTCGATTCTTGTTACCGGCGCCGCGTCAAACCTAGGACATTTAACTAAGGTACGTAGGGTCTGTTCTTTGAGTGTGTCCAAATTCCGGAACTAGAGGTGAAAGTCACGCATCTTTCGGATGAGAGCTCAAAAACTGAGGTTGGCATTGACACGATCAATAAACCTCACTGCTGAATGACCCTGAGTGCCGAATAAATTATAAATTTGAAGACCTTCACCGGTACACGTAGTCTGATATGAGTAAAAAATTCTCGCAAGGGATGTAAAAACAATAATCAATCTTTATATAACACCACTCATTTGCATAAAAATAATCTGCTGTGATATCTTGTAATAATATCACATGCTTTTTGCAACGTAGAAAAAATAAGGTTAGCAGAAGAGTTAAAATATTATATAAAAATCTAAAACATGAATTTTTTAGATGCCTAGATGTCTTTTTAGATGCTTAATACCCTTTTCCCCTGAAAGACATTTGTTGATAAATAATGGACTAGAAAATGCATAATTGTTATCATTTCACTCATACATGTATTTATATTTCCTGAAACATGGTTGATTTTTGTGTAAATCGAGAAAAGTAAGAAAATTATATTGGTAAACATACTTAACTGATTAATTAACTGATATATTTTTCTTATCATTATCAATTACTGCTGTGCTGCTCCAGAACATAATTGGATTGTATTGATTGTATGTTGTTTTACGTCCCATTCGAGAATTTTTCACTCATATAGAGACGTCACCATATACCGGTGAAGGGCTTCAAATTTTGAACTTTACTCGGCACTCAGGGCCATTTAGCAGTGAGGGATCTTTATCGTGCCAATGCCTGCCGTGACACGGGGCCTCGGTTTTTAAGGTCTCATTCGAGGGACCCGCAACTTTCACTTAAAAGTGCCGAGCGCTTGGCGAAGGAACAGTTGCTACCCATTTTTTATCGACTTAGGTCTGTCGCGGCCGAGATTCGAACTCACGACCTCCCGATCACGGAGCGAGCGCTCTACCGACTGAGCTACCGTGAACGATGAACATCAATGGAAAAGAAAATTATATAGCAATTTTTTTATTTGGTGATCAGTTTCATCGTTTTATACTTAGATGGGCTTCAGTGTAATATCATGACTTACATGTTTCTAGAGCATTTCAGACTGATATATATTATTAAACCGTGTTCACAATTTTTTTATCTGAAAAATATATAGGTAGGTTCCAACTCGAATGACGTCATCATAAGTAGTAATTTTTACAATGAATTGTAAATATATTCGAGAAGTGGTGTAAATCAGATGTGGATACTATAAAATTCCAAGGAACTTTTAAAACATTTGAAATCACAAAATTTTACCAAAATCAACAACATAAAAACTTACGACTTTTCAACTTTATATACAACTATTCCCCACGACAAATTAAAGTCCAGACTCTCTGATCCTTGACAGCTGCTTTTCCAATAAAAAATGGAGCTCGTAAATTTACTTACCTTGTCATTGGTCATTTTCAAAATTACTTTGTTAAAAACAATCTGATTGTACACACAAGTACTCTGAAGTTGACATTAAAAAGATGTTCGAGTTTCTGATTGACAATATCTATGTGGTTTTTGGAGACCAGGTCTTCCAAAAATCTATTAGAATTACCATGGGTACCAATTGCGCCCCGTTATTACATGTAGCAGACCTATTTTTGTATTTATATGAAGCAGAATTTGTTCAAAATATTTTACGTGCAAAGAAGAAAACGCTGTGGCCTTCAACTCGACATTTAGATATATCGACGACGTATTGTCAATTTACAATGGCTATTTCCATTCTTATGTCGACACGATATATCCCGGTGAGCTTGAGATAAAAGTTACCACAGAGTCTGACACATCTGTTTCATATTTGGATATTTTATTAGAAAAAGACATTAATGGTAATCTAACAACAAGGCTTGCTGATACGCCAGAGCATGCTCTACGTATGAACAATTTCTAAAACGAGGTAAGTTATTGTCAAACAAGTTGATGAAACAAGAATATCAGCAATCTCGTTTAAAGTCATCATTTCATAAGTTCTATGGTCGATAGAATGAAACATGTTTCAATGACACGTGTTTGAAGGTGAAGCTGATAGATCAAAATGGAGGTATACATATCCTATTTATTGTAGAAAGAAAGAAAAACTGTTAAGTGCTGAATTTTTGTAGATTTTTAAATGCAGCAGATGTTAAATCTAACATTCGAAAGAAAAAAAATAAGGTGGTAAAGCACTTAAATATAGAAATATGCCTAGAAATGTCAAATTTTGTAATAATTTTGAATTCTACATTTAGTATACTTTCCCCTCCAATTTTCATTTTTGTCAAATAATAACTAAAAGTGACACTTACTCGTATTGTGAATTTCTAACTTTATATTTGATTAACGAATAGATTTTAAAGTTAATTTGATTTAATATTATATTAAGATCCTTTAGGGCTCGGTAGGTTCTAAATTTTGGAAAGTTTGGAGTTCTTCATTCCAGACATTTGAAAATTTCCGACGAAGTTTTTCTTCCATTATGGTTGTTACAGACCATGCGATTTTGAAAATAAATGGACGTATCAATACATTCCATTAGGAGTTTGACTACATGTAGTATACGACCAATTTCTGTTGTATGAATGTTCCAGGTCCCACAAGAAATTTTTTTGTCTGTCTGTCGTCCGGCATTGTAACTATAACGACGTATAATATTCACCTGATGACGATGAAATGAAGAAAGCCAACCAAATTTTCCTTGAATAGCTAATATTGGAGTAAATCGATGCACACCAAGAAAGTACCGCAACGCATGATGTTGTACAGATTCAATATTATGATGTCTATCGTACACCTATACTCCAATGCAGCATAGTCCAAAATAGGTGCGACTCCGCTCAGATACATTTTCTCATATGTTTTGAATCCCGTGGATTTATTCGTATGTATTTTGGACAGCCCCTAGTGCGCGTCCACCCGATTTCGCAAGATTTTCGCTGTTGTTCTTGAATGTGGAAAATTCATCAAACAATACACCAAGATACTTATAAGATGATGAATAAACGATGCGATCTTCTCCTAGGTTTGATACATGGTCTCTCCTTTTTCGCTGTTTTTACGGAAGTGTACTACTTTAAATTTGGTAGAGTTTATACACAGCCTCCACTTCTTAAACCTGCTAGAGACAACATTAAGCATTGCGTCCATGTCAGCCTCATTCTGCGCAATCAAAGCTATATCGTCTGCGTATTGAAGGATGTTGTTTGGCACCGAATTCAATTCCATTGTATAAGTATTTTAATTGTAAAGCAAGATCGTTGATGAACAAGGCGAACAGCGTTGGGGTGAGATTATCTCCCTGTCTAACTCCCGATGTACAGCCAAAACAGTTGGTGTAATAGTT